GAGCACTATAATATAAAAAAAAAAAAAAGTTATATTTATTTCTTATTTTACAGATAGAATTGATAGCAATAAGAGTGTCCCAACAAGCCCAAGAGTATCCCTCTTGATATTACGAGCATTGTGATGAAAGAGGCGTTTCAAGCGTTGCCATGCAGACCAAGGACTAAGGTGGCCTCTCACTATAAATCCCACAAGAAGAGTAAGCATACTGCAACACAGCTTTTCATTGGCTGTGGAGGTTCTTGACTAAAAATGGATAGGTACCTATAGTCCCTTCAAAAAAAGTTTAGTCACATCTACACCGTTGACCTATATCGTACAATACAGTGACCCGAGCAGACGTATGTATACAAAAAGTACACAAGTCAGCCCCACATTAAATTATTTTCTCAGTTCAGCGTCTCATTTATTTTTAGTATAATTACGATTCCCCACAACTCCTATTCATTTTACGTACAACTTTCTGACCAATTCAAACTACGTGGGCTACCGCTCTTCGGTGTAGCAGACGCCCCACACTTTTCATCTGTTCCGTGACTTGCACAGTTATCTACTATTTTACAAAATATCCTATAAAACCCATGGTAATGTCCAAGTACCTGAATGTCGTTGGAAAGGTTCTGATTTCTTCTATCTGCTACATAGTTTTCTATTAAGAACTACAGTATCTTTGCTGAGATATCATACAACCTGCGCCACCAATTTGACGACCCTCCATAAGAGGCTATGTTACAGAGTTTATTTTCCAGTTAGTTTTTTTCAAAAATATTGGTGGTGATGAGGTCTAAAATTTTGGAAAAAGACTCCTTGCACCTTCAAGAATCGTTCTTTAAAATATCATTTAAAACTCCAGTGTTTTAATTTAGTGAGGAGCCACCTTAACTGGACACATCAAGATTTACAAAATATACCGTTTTAGAAAGCGCTAAAAAAAAAATTAATTAATACGATCATAAGAAAAAAACTTGTCACACTATAAAATTTTAAATTACTAAGCCGACGGATACAGCTAATACTTTAAAATGGCTTGAGAATGCTTATTTCAAATTTTCAAGATATCTGGGATTCATGCAAAAAAATCGAACAGAGTAAACAAATCATCGACATCACGAAGATTTTAGAAGTTGAGGTTACATACATTTAACTTTCTCAAGGCTGGGGTGTGCTGAAAGAAGTTTGTAATAATTTAAGTAAGTAAGGTATTTCAGAGATAAATATTTAATATACAGGCTGAATGCTTAATGTGTGAGGATGGCTTGTTGTGTCGCCCGTGCGGATGTTGAACCGTTAAGATGACTCTTGAATCGTTGCTTGCCAGGCTTGCAGAGGATCTTTGAGTGTTCGTGACGTGCATTCACGCTGACATATATGCATATACGTATGTCGGTAGTTAGCCATATTTCCAACCCGTGCGTCACAGGCGAGCAATTATCTCTCACGCTTCATTGTCTTGTAACCTCTTTTTTGTTGCTCTGTACGTGTCTAACCTCCCCTGCCCCGGGAGAAGTCCACTGCAGAAGCAAATGTACATGCTCGCGTCGATCAAGCGACAGTCAACGACGGCTATTCGCATCAACCGAGAAAGAGCCCCCTTCGGCTGCTCGAATGAATTTTCCTTGCAGGTGATAGTGTTTAACAACAATCACAATATCTCGCCTGTTCTATGCTTGAAGTAACGATAGCTTTAACACGAATTGACGAGCAACAACGCATAAGATAGAATGCTACGCAACAGCTAACCAACAACGGTTTTGTTGTACCGCATTTACCCATCAAATACTCAAATCTCATGCACGTCTGGCTCGCCTTTCTTGGGGCGGCGCAACTCGACATATCTTGCTACTTCTCTGTAGCAATCGAATGATACATTCTCCTCCTCGTTGCTTTCACGACCGAACTTTTGCGTTACAGAAACATGGAGTTGCTGAGTACTCAACTTGCCCTGAGCCAAGTAATCGAAAATTCGTCAAGAGTGATTTAGAACACTCTACCTGATCAATGGAGTGAGGGTCTCGTCTCTAGCCGACTCGAGTTTCTCGAAGGTTACTGGGCTAGCTTTACGGAGAATTATCTCAAACTGCTGTCAGATGAAACATTTAAAAACGAACTTTACTTCGCCGACAACAAGTGTTTCGCCGTGGAAATAATTTATGTTGAATCAAGGGGACGATTGTATAATGAACGCACGAGATTCATCCGTATGCACGAACACCAGCCAGCACCTGTGGCAAATCCAACGCGAGATATCTCTAGGCTACCAAAAATCACGCTACCTACCTTCGACGGACGACGAGAGAATTGAGAGGCATTCAGAGATTTATTCAAATCCCTCATTAATGGCAATGAGTCACTGTCACCCGTCGACAAGCTATACTATCTCAAAACAAGCGTTCTTGGAGAGGCCAAGTCAGCTCTCGACAGCCTACAAATAACTGGCCCGAATTATGGAATTGCTTGGTCAACTTTGGAGTCACGCTATGACCACCAACGTTAGTTGACCCAAGAGCATCTTAAAGCATCAAGATCAATGTGGCCACTCAGAGAGGAGTCGGCCACAGGACTCCAAACTTTACTCGACGACCTAGAGCGACATCATGACCAGTTGAGAGCCCTTGAACGTCCCGTCAATCAATGGGACGATTGGTTCGTCTCTCTCTCGGCTGATGTGATGGATGGAATCACCAGACGGAATTGGGAAGCAGAGCTGGAGGCTCTTGATAAGGAGTCGCAAACGACCGGGCATGCACACTCCACTTTTAAGACAATTGACCGACTTTCTACGACGGCGATGTCGAATGCTCTCCTCCTTGGCTCCAAAAAAAGCACCCAAGCTGCCAGTGGCTCCTCAGAGAATCAATAGCGGTCCAAACGTGAATTCTCGCTCATTTCGTACGGTGGCCGCCACCACTATCGAAGTGGCTCGATGTGCAGCATGTGAGGCCTATCACTACATTGGTCGCTGCTTTGCGTACAAGCAGATGACGCCAAAGAATCGACAAAGCCTCGTTTCACAAAGATAGCTGGGCTTCAACTGCCTTCGAGAGGGACATCCAGTTAGCCGCAGCCCCTCTCCGATGACGTGCCAAGCATGTGGGGCACAACACCACACTTCAATCCACAATGCTTCGATCAAGCGCCCCGGCTCCTCAATCGACTCCAACGTGCGGACCAAATGACCAAAGCAGGATCCACAGAACTTGGCCTCCCCCGGCATGACTAAGGCGGAGTCAACCTGACTAGGCCTCTTGCCCACAGCTGTGGTCACGCTCTACAACCCGAGTGGATGACGAGGAAGGGCTCGATCTCTGCTTGATCCATGCTCGGAGTCGAAATTCACCAGCTTGTCCACGGCTCGCAAGTACGGGCACACTCTGGAGAGATCTTCTATTGGCGTCGTGGGAGTGTCTGGAGGTGCAATAAGTTGCTTTGTCGCCCGCACTCGCCTTAAAATAATTGCTGACGACGATAGTTGCTGCATCAATGTGTCCACCTATGCATTACAGCAGATCGATCTGACCACGCCATCTCAGGAGCCAGGCATCGATCTCCATTCACGCTTTATTGGATTCAAACTGGCTGACCCAACTTTCTCAATACCACAGAGGGTGGAGCTCATGCTTGGAGCAGACGTTTACGCCAAGATCCTCCTTCCCAGCCTCGTGCTTCGAGGTAGTCTCATGGCACATAGAACCGTTTTTGGTTGGACTATTAACGGAGCACATGGTCAGTCTTCCACCTCAGCGACCAAAAGTTTGACAACGGTACTCGGGGACCGAGATACGTGTTGCGAGCAACTCGTTTGGTTCATGCAGCGCTACTGGGCTATGAAGGAAGTCCCTCAAACAGTGCGAGTCTCTCCTGCGGATGCTGAGTGCGAGGACTGTTATGCCCAGCATCACACCAGGTCTGAGAGTGGCCGGTACGTCGTCCCGCTGCCCATTAAAAGTGATGAACTCAATCTCATCAGTGGCAGCTTGATTGAGGCCCAAAGAGCCTGGGCCTCTGCTCACAGACGAATAAGAAACGACGCAACGCTTCGCAGCCACTACATCGATTTCATGTCAGAATATCTCGAGCTAGGGCACATGCGTCTTGAATCAGCCGAGGAAATCAGTTCGTGCTCTCGCAAGGTCAATTATGTACCTCATCATGCCATCTGGCAGCGAGGTGACAACGGAAAGCGACTGCGCGTGGTGTTCAACGCCTCCAGCCCTACATCAACGTGATTTCGCCTTAATGATGCTCTCCATTCTGGCCCAAAACTGCAAAATGACATCTCAAGCATCATCACCCGATGGAGACGGCACAGGATTGCATTTTGTGCGGACATCAAAATGATGTTTCGTCAGATCTGCGTACGGGACGAAGATGTGCACTTACAGCGGGTATTATGGAGCGCCACAGAGGACGAACTGGAGTCTCACTATGTCCCCCTCACCATGACGTACGGTGAGGCTAGCGCCCCATATTTAGCTTTGATAACTCTCTTGCAACTGTGTAAGGACGAGGGCGTAGGCTTCCCCGAGGCCGTCGACGCTATACGTCGAGATTTGTACGTAGACAACTTTCTTACCGGTGGTGATAGTATGGAGGCAGCTCGAATTTTCAGAGATCAGATAATTCAGCTGCTCATGGTGGGCGGTCTTCCGCTGAAGAAGCACGTATCAAATGATCGAAGTTTGTTGGAAGATTTGCCTTCGGACGACCTTCTCCGCACGGACTGGATGCACTTTACTACCGACGGGCCCGTCAGTGAGCTGGGTATCGCTTGGGATCCTGAGGTGGATTCATTTCGATTTGCTGCTCCCAAACCAGGCGAGTCTAAGACTCTAACCAAACGACGCGTTCTTGCGGAGATGGCCGGCTTGTGGGATCCGGTGAGCTGGCTAGCCCCAGTCACCGTCTCGGGAAAAATGATAATTCAAGACTTGTGGAAAGCAAAGCTATCTTGGGATGAACCTTTACCGACCTCATACGCAACCTGCTGGGCGAAATTTCGATCAAATCTGGCCAACGTTGGCTCACTCGCTTTGCCGAGATGGTTCCAGTCGGCCCCAAACAGCGGCTTGCAGTTGCACGCATTTGCGGATGCAAGTTGACGGGCCATAGCTGCAGCAGCTTACCTCAGAGTTGAGCGGACTAATGAGAGTTTCATCGTGAGCCTTATTAGCGCCAAAACCAAGCTTATTCCCATCAAGAGCTTGGTTCCAGCCGAACATTCGAGGGCCAGGATGACCATCCCACGCTCGGAGCTGAGAGCCGCTTAACTAGCCGTGAAATTGCTCGGGACGGTAGCTACTGGCTTAGACGTGCCAAGCGATTGGCATTTTCTATGGAGTGACTCTAGCACCGTGGTGGACTGGCTGGGCTCAGACGAACCGGTTGGCAACAGTCTAGTCGACAACTACATCAAACACATTCAAGAGCTTACTTTCCGTAAGGCGTGGCGTTACGTTCCCACTGGCGAGAATCCAGCCGACATCGCAACCAGAGGCACTTCACCTATTGAGCTTTAGCGGAACTTGCTCTGGTGGCATGGCCCGCCCTGGCTGGCGTTCCCCCCTGATTCGTGGCCGGCTCCACTGGATCAACGAAGACCTTCCGCTGTCTCAACTGACTACGAAGAAGCTCATCAAGTTACCGTTTGTTCAACTGTATTGGAAGCGCACCGCGCGCCCTTTGAGAAATTTTTGAGCTTGTGCCGCCTTCTCCGGGATCTCGTTAGACGCCGTCGCTTTGCGCTCTTAGCCAATTGCTGAGTGAGATCTTCAAAACCCCTTTGCTCAAAGGAACGGGACAAGTTTCTGCTGGCCTATCGGGCTCCAATTAGAGCTCACGAGTTGCAGAATGCATTCTTGGACTGTGCGAGAGCGAGCCAAGCTCACTACTTTGCCGCTGAGATTGAGATCCTGAAGAAGAGGAAACCGATTCCATCGTCAAGCCCTCTTAATCGTCTGGACGCATTTCTTGACAACGATGTGTTACGTGTTGGTGGCCATCTCCGACACTCTCCCTTGCCCTTTGACGAGAAGCACCCTCCGATACTCGACTGTGCATGTCATCTCTCGCGCCTTGTCGTGGATTGGGCTCATCTCCGAGCACTACATGGCGGCTTTCGTTCTACCTATGGTCACGTCATGCGCCGAGCATGGATCATTCGTGGCGACGCCATAATTAAGAAGTGCGTCCGCAAATGCGTCCTGTGTGCCAGATCCATGGCTCAACCCATAAGTCAATTTATGGGCTCTTTGCCGGCTGCTCGCGTGACGCCACCGCCTTGACCATTCAGTAAGACTGGTGTTGACTACGCTGGGCCATATCAGATTCTCCGATCGAAGGGGCAAGGCATTTCCTCTTCAAAGGGCTATGTTGCCATTTTCATCTGCCTCTGCACGAAAGCCATTCACTTGGAGCTAGTCAGTGATCTCACCACAGCGAGCTTCTTCGGCGCTCGATTTCGTTTTGTCGGCTGGTGAGGAAAACCAAAGGAGATCTGGAGTGATAATGGGACGAACTTCCATGGAGCAGATCGCGAGCTTCGAAAATTGATGGAGGAGGCCGAGCACAGTTGGGATTCAGTGGCTGAGAATCTCGCAGCGGAGGGCATCGATTGGCACTTCATCCCTCCTGCGGCTCCTCACTTTGGAGGGCTGTGGGAGGTGGGCGTCAAGTCCATGAAGTATCACCTGCTCCGAATCGCCCAAATGAGGCGCATGACTTACGAGGAATTCTCGACCCTGTTAGTCGAGATTGAGATGATTCTGAATTGCCGGCCCCTTAGTTCGCTCGCTGGAGACACGGACGATCTGGACGTCCTAACTCCGGCCCACTTCCTCATAGGAGGCCCGCTTACTAGTATGCCTGGTGCTCAGCAAGACAACAACTTGGATCGCCTGTCCCACTGGAACCTAGTTCAAGGTGTACGCGATGCACTCTGGCGCCGATGGGCTAAATAATATCTAAACACGTTGCAACAGAGGGCGAAGTGGACGAAAAGGCGTAGAAACCTCGCTGTTGGTGACGTTAAACTAGCCTTGGACCCCACGCTCATTACATCGACGGGCAAATGGTCTCTCGGTCGTGTGATCGAGGTCATCCCGGGTAACGATGGTTTGGTGAGAGTCGTCAAAATAAAAGTCACAGGCAAGGAATACACTAGACCGATCGTGAAGATCGCTCTTCTTCCGATACTCGAGGAGCCAGTCGAAGCCTCTGGCGTCTATAAGCAGCTTGACACTGCTCTCATGGTGGGCAGCGAAACATCGATTTTACGGCGGGCGGCCGAAGCTTAACCAGGGGAAATTGTCTACAAAAAATTCGTCCCAGGTTTGAGGTGGGCAGTATGTTCCGTCAGCAGCCGGACATGTTGTCACATTAGGCGTGGAGAAGCGGCGATAGATGCGCCAGAAGAAGAGCTCGCGGACAAAAAAAAGAAGCTAATAGAGAGGGAAGAAGAAGAGTTGGGCAGTGAACACAGCGTCGTCGACAAGAAGGAGTTTTCCGTTGTTCTTGCCTAATCCGTTTTTTTTTTCTTGTGATCACAAATCTCCTCGTCTGTCCTTTGTACTTTGTAAGTAATTTAGCTTAAAAAAGATCCTCTTGTAATGAAATAAATCTATTCTTGTGTGTTGAAATAAAGTGATATTGTTGCAAGTTATTCTCCCGAGTCTAGCCCACTCCCCAATCTGGCAGGCTCTATGGAGCCGCTGCATTTTTGCACAGCGTCAAAATATAGAATTACATGATGCTACTAACATGTGTGTACACATACCGGTCCCTATCGTGGTACAAGTACAATACGATGCATGCATAGACGAGATAGAAGAAGATCCCCACGCTATTTGCGACGTCTGAAGTGTTAAACAGCTTGTTTTTGAGGGTAAGAAGTGCCTAAAAATTTTGTTGATTTTGAAGTGGAATTTAAAAGTAAAAATCTTACTTTGTTCATCTGTATAGCATATAACTTTCAGGCTTTTAATGGTTAATTTTTAATAAAATATATAATAAATAATAAAAAGGTACCCCCCGAGATTACTCTTAATAGGCATACAGACTCAGTGATATGTACAAGAAATGATGAAAATGTCAGTAAATATCAACCACCTACCGCATCGTTATTGGTACAGTTAACAGATGAATTAGAGGTATATGGTGGAGGATCGTGTAAAGAGATTTTTGTTTCACGAGATCCTAAATTTTATGCGTACCGCGTGCGTACAGTTAGTGGGGGATTTCGTGGTGTACACAGAGTTAAAGGTATTTAATTAAATTACGAAAATTTATTAATAATAAATTTCGATTCCATTTCAACTACACCACACAATGAAATGATAATAACGTAGAATCAGATAACACAATAAAATTTAAAAATACGATGACTAGAAAGTCTGACATAAATGAAGTGGTTAGGGGCAATGAAGATAAAGCATGTGCGATATTTTTAAAAAAGCGTCAGCTTATCTTCGAAACCTTATCGTATTCTTTTAGTTATGAAAAAATAAATAATAACAAATAAGTTGTTTTTGTTATAGATACCGTACGCAAAATTAAAAAAGTCTGTGCAGACGAAAATTGTGATTCCATCGTTACTGTTATTGTGTGCCTACGTGCAAGTTTTATCCACCCCATAAATCCTCTATAAAAAGATTAGCATTGTACTCCCTTTTACATACGCTTGTTAAACTCAAAGCAGATGGAGACGTTAAAGCGTATTGTAAAATATATGAAAATCGATCCAAGCTCCATTTTATTAAGATTTTATGTAAGACTGTTGAAGTATTTTAATGAGTCGAACATCATATGTAGACTTCAAGAACCCGTTGGAAGCATATAACTGGATAATTAAGTAATTACTATACCAGATAATAATCTATTAGATGTTCATATTTTTTCAAATGTCAGAACATCAGAGCTCTTGCATTTAGTGGATACAAATCGAATTATAAGAATTTATTTTTGTGAAGTTCGACGTTTAGATAAAGAGCAGCATGATGACGGTATAATTTATAAATGTCGCAACAGTTATTTGATGAGAAAAAACATATTGCAAACGATGGATTGACGTAGTTAAACATAGACGCAGACTAAGGTTATTAAAAAATGAATTTCAAAAAAAAATTTACTTTTATGTATATGAAAATTACTTAATTGAACTAATACGATACCTTAATTTGATTGTTATAGATCTCTTTCACGCTATTCAAACATACTGCTCTCTATTAAAATTTTCGTGTTTTTAAAAAGTTAGTACATTTTCCAAATGTGTACGCTTTCCAACTTTTTGCCAAACGTTGCAAGGCTTACCATGGCACTCATGATTTCATACCTTGATAGAATAAAAAAAGATGAAAAGCAGATATCCACCTACAGACAATTATATAAAAACACGTACATCATGAAGACACTTTTAGATATCATGTTCTATGTGAAATTTATAGGCTATTTTAGAAGTTCAAGAATGATAAATTATCATGGCTCTGCAGAGTATAACGATAATATTTAAGAATTTGAAAACATTACAATCGCTAAAATCTTATTTATAATAAATACAAATATATATGTTAATAGAAAATGACTTATGCAGACTTCACGTGCTTCTAACATTTATATTAATAATATGGTGGAATTATGCGGATGTCCACATAATTTCTCTTTTGTCTTCATATTTAACCTTCCATACATGTAATTGTTCACAGAAGTCACCTTTTTATAAACATATGATAACAGATATTTATGTGATAGCAATACAGGATGACAATTGTCAAAATAACTGGTGTGCATCTGTTGGTGTGCACTTACAAAAGATAAAGACAAAATATAACGTAATCATGATTCAAAAAAATTTTTTTAATAAACAGAGTGTTTTTCCAACATTAGTGTGAATCCTTTCACTTTTCCCTAATTGTATGTTTTTTATAAAATTTCAATACTAAACATGTACTACATACCAACGCCGTAAAAGAAGAAGCGACGATAGTTATAGTTTTGAAAGGGAAGTCACTTGCTTCTTTTATCTCTTTTACTCATAAGACAATTATTTTTTATCATATTTTTCTAGAGTGCTGATTAAGATAAAAGTGAAAGGGAAAGGGGAGGGGGG